CCTGGGAGGCGGGGGCCGTTTCCATAGCGGCGGCAGGAGGTGTCGCGCCGGGGAACTTCCTGGTTCCCGGGCTCGGCTTCGCCGGGATCCTCTTGGAAGGGAAACAATGGGGCGGAGGGCACTGCGGTAGCCGCCGCTGCGCCGGACCTGCTTGGCTGCTCGGGACCGCCCGCTCTGCCCGCTGCCCACAGCCGCCGCCGACGGGACTGTCCGGAGGTAACTTCCTCTCCTCCTCTGCCGCCGCGAGGGGCCGGCGGCCGCGGGTTCCCTGGCTGGGCTGCCCCGCCTGGGGCTCGGAGTTGGCCCCGGGGAGCCGGACGCCGCCATTCCCGGACCCGGGAGGAGGGGACGCAGCTGCGGCTCGCTGGCCCAGCCCTGGAAGGGCCGGCTCGGGAACGTGCGCGGGTGCCCCCGGCCGGCCTGTGGGGGTCTGCGGCGTGATTGGCAGGCAGCGGGCGCGGGGCGGAGGGCGTGCGGGGAGGGGGCCGTGCGGGGAGGAGGCCTGGCGAAGGGCCCAGGCTGTCTAGCCCCCGGGGAGGCGGAACCCGCTGCCCGCCTCCCCCCCGCGCCAGTTTCGGTCCCCGGGGAGACGTGTCTCCCTCGCAAGTTTCAGTCTCTTCCTCCAGAGTCCAGTGGGCAGGACCCAGGCAAACTTCGTTCTTTTAAATTATTGCCTTGATGCCGCGGAACTTTGTTTGGACCAGACAAGGGAGGAAGGGCTGAGTGAGGGATTGAGAGAGCCTGGAAATCTGTGCGCCTTTGCAAAGTTTGCAGAATAGTTCGGAGCTCACGACTGTAGCATGGTGCGACATTTCTAGTATGTGAGAACGGTTACACGGTTACTCGCAGGTGTTTTACTGCCGGAAAATGAAAGAAGTCTATAAATCGATGGATGGACATTTGTGTAAGTTGAGGATTGAGTCTTTCTCCCTCCTATCCTCGTCCCTTTAATCCGCGGATGCTTTCAAACAGAACACTTGAACATGCATTGTCCCTTGGGAAGGCTGAGTGAATTGGGGGCAATCAGTCTTTGGAAATAATATGACATGAATGGAAAAAAGTGGGGACACTTTTAAACATTTTTATTGCTGGAAGGAAATGATTTCAATTCTGTATCAATCCTTTTTAAAGATAATTAAATTTGGGGGATAGATATTTAATGTTTCATAGCTCAGAAGAGTTGCCCAGAACTTTTGCGGTCCTTCTGGCCAACTCCTCTCTTAGATTGAATCTCTGGGAAGTTCTGTCAGGAGTAAGTCAGAGTACTTTTTTACTTTCAGGAAGTCATTTTAATAAGAATAATGGATAAGCATTAAGTGAACACTTGTTAATTTGCTTTTATCTCTATTCAGACCCTAAAATTAACAAAGATATTTTTGAGTTTGTCATTTTTTAATAATAAAGATTGTAAACATGGTGTAGTTCGTTACTTAAAATGGTTGTTGGTACTATGCCGTATTCTACATAGGCAATTAAAATATACGTCAAAAGAGAAAAAAAAATTATACTAAGAATAAATTTGGTTTTAAGGGAAAACTGATCCTAACTGCAAGCATAGGTATCCTGAATTAAATTCTTACTTCACCTATTATGTATTTAAAAAATTAATGAGTTGTTACAAAGTGTTCAAAAAAGCATCATTTGCCAAACAAAGAATTTGGGCCCTGAGCTTTATCATGTTGGTGTCTACGCACTGTTTTTAGTTAGACTATCAAACTCTTTTTTTTGTATCTCCTGGTGAAGATAGTTCTTTACCAGTTTTAGCAGTGTTTTGTCATGCAAATAGCTATTAGTGAGGACAGCTGGCCTGGTTAAACAAGCCAGTAAGTAGACATATCAGATTTGGCATCATGTATTAGTTGACTGATCATCTTCAAGCGTTATTAGGAACCAAGAGAGCCATGGCAGATCCAATCTGGGTCTCCAGAGCCAAGCAAAGTTTGCATTGGTCTATCTTTACCATCTGCCTCAAAATGCTGTTACATTTTGTAGTCAGTAAAGATGGATGAAAAAGAGGCCAGTAAGTTGAAGTTAGTAGCAAATTGAGAACACACAAAGTTAATTTGGTTAAAAGTTATGAGGAACAGGAATGTCATACTCCATATATGTATGTCAAAATATACTCTACTGTCATATCTAAAAAGAAAAGACAAAAAAGAAAAAAGTGAGGAGTGTTAGGGCAGTTCCAAACTGGCAAAAGAGCTAGAAACTGAAGCTTTGAGAATTGGGGTGGGGTGGGGTGGGGTGTGTGGCTGGGCAGGATTGTGTGCAGAGGCAGGCAGACAGATGCTGCCATAGGTGCACACAAAAGTGATTACATTTTCTGGTTTTTGTTTGGGATTTCACTTTAACCATTGTTGTTTTGTAACAAGTGCAGTTCATATCACTAAGTACCAGAAAGTTACAGTTTGTCCCTTCCCTGTGATTTTTGAAAAGCATGTTCCATTCTCAGATGTGATTTAATCACCCCCCCCCCAAAAAAAAACGTGTCTCCCATTTTTACAGTGGAAGTCAACAGAAAAAAATAATAATTTGAAAGAAATTTGGCTTCTGGCACACTTCCAAATAATATTTAGGTATTAGATCATTGGAATTTGTCATGGACACTGTGATTCTCAGCTGTTCCATTCATTTCCAGATTATATCACCTCAGACAAACTACTTGTTTGAAGCTTGTTTCTTTGTAAAATTTGGGAGAATTATAAATTTAAATTTGTTTATTCAATGGATATTTTTTGAGTGCCTTCTGGGTACCTCAGGAATTTGTATTAGATACTTTGTTTTCAACAAGTAGATGAGTCTTAAGGAACTATAAAATTATAAAGCCTAAGCAGCCTGAATTGGTTTGGGAGTAGTCTGGGCAGATTTCCCTGAGGAAGTGATTTGTAAGACTTGAAGGTCTAGAAGGGGATTGATAGTGGATGAAAAGGAGAGTTGAAACCAAGTACAGAAAATTTTGAGGATGGGAATAGAGTGTGGACACAATCACTGCGCTGAGGAGATTGTTTTGCAGGTTGAATGAGAATGTTTGGCAGGTCAGTTCCCTCTCTGCATATGGGTACTCAGTGTTGGTTATAAGAGAAGGCTCCTGGTACCATCCTCTAATAATCTGAATGAAGTGGCTCAGTTTTGATCCATAGTCATTGTGGAAAGGGAGTCAGTTGGCTTGACTTTTACCACACTTGACCTGGAAATGGCTCTCTGCACACTTTGGTGTCTGCTTTTATAACTGTTAGTTTACCTGTTTCTATAGCTGTAAAATTGGAATTAGATATTAAATAAAATATTAATTCATTTCTTTTCAGAGATTCTGATACCAGGAAAGTATTTTGATTGCATTTTCCTTTTGAGGAGCTTAGACTACTTTATTTAAAATGCCTGATCCTCCTCAAAAAACTATAAGAGCAATCCACCCTAAAAGAAAAAACAGCCAGTATGCAGGTGGTTTCATTTGCTTTTATGGAAGATCTAGATTAACTCTGGAGTTTGATTGTTAAGTGTTTTTGGCTTTGTAGAGATGATTTCGTTATTTTGTGATAAAGGTACACATTGCATCCATGTCTTACTGACATTGATATGAATGTAGGAAAAGTTAAAATTTTATCCTGAAAGTTTCTTTTCATTGATTCAGCAAGTAAATTAAAAATAATGAGTGCTGTTTTTCATGAGTAAGTGAAATAATATAATTTCAGTGCTTCTTAATGTATTAATTTTGCAGTTAGTAGTGTTATTTAGATCAGGGTTGGCAAATTAATATTTTATTATGGAATTGATGCAGTATTTATAGTCAGTTGGCTCTCTAGGCTTTTTGTTCTTGTTTGGGTTTTGGACATTTTAATGTTTATTAACATATTTAGTAAGATAAGAAGGTGAAATAAAAATTTGACAATCTCATCACAATAGAGAAAAATTGAATGCATGTGGAAACTAAAACTTATAAAGGTTGTTATGTGTGTGGAGATAGAATCGGCATATAATAACTATTGACAGAAATTCTTAAAAATTAATTTTAGAAATCTATCACCTGTTGTATGCTCATTTTTTTCTTATTTTTAGCTTTGTTCTGGATTGCTTTTAAAAAGTAACTTTTGTGTTTCTTCCCTTTTTCTTTTTCTTATTTTTTGGCTGGGGGCGGGGGTTACTGGGGATTGAACTCAGGGGTACTCAACCAGCACTGTTTTGTATTTTATTTAGAGACAGGGTCTTCCTGAGTTGCTTGGTGCTTTGCTTTTTGCTGAGGCTGGCTTTGAGTTTATGATTCTCCTGTCTTAGCCTCCCAAGCTGCTGGGATTATAGGTGTGTGCCACCCCTCCCGGCCGCTTCTTCCCTTTTTAATGCTTAGGATTGTATGTTCTTTCACTAGTTCCTTATGCATTCTTGACTTATCAAAGTGTAATATTCATTGGGACTTTGGCTGTTTTTTTCTGGACAATGCAAGACCTTTAAAAACATGTAGTTCAATTTTCTTCCATCTTTACTTATTTCATGATTGTCATGTTTTAAAATGCATATATATTTTAAACCCCACAGGCATATTTCTATTGTTTTAGATTCTTATTACTCAGTTACTGTGTTTTTTTCTCTTCATTTCCACCAACACTACTGACCTTCCTTCTGGAATAAACTCCTTCTGCTGCTTGAAGAATACCCCCTAGTGTTTTCCTCAGAGTGAATCTAGTGTTATCAAGTGATGGAACTTTTTGTTTGAGAATGTCTTTATTTTGCCGATATAGTTGGGATGTATTTTACTGGGTATACAATTCTAGATTGGATGCATATCTATATTTACATGTTTTTTGGAGAAATTATTTCATATTTTGGCTCTTCTGTTCCTATTCAGAAGTCATCTACAGTTTATTGCATCTTTGTTGGTGATCTGTTTATTTTTTCCATCTGTTTTTAAAAATTTGTTCTAATTAGTTATACATGACAGTAAAATCCACTTGTCACATCATACATAAATGGAGTATAACTTCTCATTCTTCTGGTTGTACAGATATAGAAGGTAATAATGTCAGATTCATTCTACTAGCCTTCCTAATCCTTTGCCCCTCCTTCACTCCCCTTTGCCAAATCCCAAGTAACTCATTCTCTGCCCTCCACTCCCCATTTTTCAATCTGTTTTAAAAAGTTTCCTTTTGTCTTTGGACTTCATATGATTCTCTCCTTTTTTCCATCCCTTCCTTCCTCCTCCTTCCTTTTTTTTTTCTTCTCCT